TTTTTTTGCGGAGCTGGGGATTGAACCCAGGCCCTTGCGCTTGCCAGGGAAGCGCTTATTCCACTGAGCCATATCCCCAGCCCCTAATTTTTTAATTAAAAAGCAAAAAATACTTAAACTTGTATAATTTCTTTTTGGTTTGCTTTTGTGTTTTGAGACAGGGTCTTGATATATAGTTCAGGCACTCACTGTATACCCAGGCTATCCTTCAACTTGCTTCCATCCTCCTGCCTCAGCCTTCTGAGTTCTGGGATTACAGATATGCACTACTATACCCATAAAAAATGTGTAATTTTAAATGCTTGTATCAGAAAAGAAAAAAAGTGCCTGGGGTATGGCTCAGTTGTAGAACATGTAATAATGTATTTAGCATGCACAAGTCTGGGTTCAATTCCTGGCCCCCCAATAAAAAATAATCTAAGAATCTACTATAAAAGTTAAAAAAAAAAAAAAAAGGAAACTAAGCTCAAAGAAAGTTATTAGGATATGGCCAGGGAGATAGCTCAGTGGCATAAGTCCTGCTGGGCAAGTGTAAGGTCCTGAGTTCAATCCCAGGTACAAGAAAAAAAAGAAAGAAAAAGTTATTAGGGGGCCAGCCAGATAACTCAGTGAACTAAAAGGCCTGCCCGGGCAGAGCACAGTGGCTGGGGTTCAGATCCCCGGCTTGCCATGCCAACCCAGTCCCGGGGGCATGCTGAGACTACGATGGAGACTGGGCGTGGTGGTGTGCACCTGTAATCCCAGCCCTTGGGAGGATGAAAACAGGAGAATCACACGAGTTGATCTAAGTAACCCTGCAGACCCTGCAGACCCTGTACCAAATACAAAAAGAAAAAAAAAATATTAAGACAACAGGATATCCATATACAAAACAATAAAGTTGGATTCCACATCATAGTATATGAGAAAAATTAACTCAAAATGGATTAACAACATAAATTTAAGAGCTAAAGCTATAAACTTCTTAGAAAAAAAAAAAACAAAAATCATTGTGATCTAGGATTAGGCA